ATATATATATATATATATATATATTTATTTTTTGTGTAGGTAGAAACAATCTTTATTTTATTTATTTATTTTTATGTGGTGCTGAGGATTGAACCCAGGGCCTCACATGTGCTAGGCAAGTACTGTACCACTGAGCCACAACCTCAACCCCTAGAGACAGGGTCTTACTGAGTTGCTTAGTGCCTTGCTTTTGCTGAGGCTGGCTTTGAAATCGGGATCCTCCTCTCTCAGCCTCCTGAGCTGTTGGGATTACAGGCATGGGCCACCATGCTCGGCTTTTAAAAAATTTTTGAGACAGTGCTTTGCTAAGTTACCTAGGCTGGCTTGAACTTGTGATGCTCCTACCTCAGTCTACCAAGTATCTGGGATTATAGGAATGCGTTACTGTATCCAGCCAGTTGATCTTGAGTGTTTTTTATTATTGAATTATAGTCACACATAGTATCAGTTTTTTTTAACATAATCATATATGCATTGAATATAATTCAGTTCCCAGAATTTCCTCTTTCCCTCTTCAACTCCCCCTCTTCCCTTTCCTCTACTGATTTTCCTTCTACTTACATATAGTTTTTAAAAATTAGAGCATTGTAGATTTACATCAAGGTGATATTCACTGTGGTATACTCATATATGTACATAGCATAACTTCACTCCACAGTTTCTCCTGTTTTTTTTTTGTCCTTCTTCTCTCCCCCTCAAGCTACTTCCTCTGCACAATGGATCTTCCCTTCATTTTCATGGGATTCTGCCTCACCCCATTTCTTCCTTACTGTGCTCTAGCTTCTACGTATAACAGAAGACCTTTAATTTTCTGAGTCCCTTTCACTTAGCATGATGTTCTTCAGTTCCATCCATTTACCCAGGTGACTGATTTTTGATGATAGGTCACTGTGTTTAGGTATCTTATTAAATGTGATGTCAAAGAACGTAGTGACATCAATATGACAAAATGCTTTTTATTCCCACCTATAATATTTATAGGAACAAAAATTTCAGCTCTCACATCTATAAAAATGAAAGATAGAAATAGATTTATGCTGAATCTTGTCTAATTCTAGCAATAAATAGTGCTCATCTATGGAGAACATGAACTAATTGAAAAGAAGTGACCCAACTACCCAACTATCTTATTTAGAACTATACTTCCAATGTGATTTTTTTTTTTTTGTACTGGGGATTGAACCCAGGGATGCTCTACTACTGAGCCACATCTCCTGCTCATTTTTTAAAAAAATCTATTTTCGTTGTTGATGGACTTTTATTTTACTTATTTTATGTGGTGGTGAGAATTGAACCCTGTGCCTCACACATGCTAGGCAAGCACTTTACTACTGAGCCACAACCCCAGCACCCCCAACCCATTTTTATATTTTATTTTGAGACAAGGTCTTGCTAAGTTACTTAGGGCCTTGCTAAGTTGCTAAGGCTGGCTTTGAATGCAGGATCCTCCTATCTCAGCTTCCCGTGTCAGTGTGCCATAGTACCCAGACCTCAAGTTATTTTGGTAAGTTAATTATAAATAATAGACACAAATATATTTGTTTTACTTATATATATAAATAAATGCAAACATATATTTATTATAACCCAGAAGGAAATTTTTAATACTTAGAGCCTTATGGCCATAGGAAATTTTTTAAATTCAGTTTTAATTTATGTACATAACTTTTTGCAGAAAATAGAAGGCTTTCTTTTTAAAAATTTTTAGTTGTAGACAGACACAATACCTTTATTTATTTATTTTTTATTCGGTGCTGAGAATTGAACACAGTGCCTCGTGTGCTAGGCAAGTGCTCTACACCAAGCTACACCCCCAGCCCTAGAAGGCTTTCAAGCATAAAATATATTACATTAGGAAAATGTTTGGGGTATAAATAGAAATATGAATTCAGAAGAAATAGAACAGTGTGAAATTCTTGACTGTTAAAGAAGAGTATGATTTTTTTTCTTTTCTTTTTTTGGTACCAGGGATTGAACTCAGGGGCACTTAAATACTGAGCCACATCCCCAGCCCTTTCTATTTTTTATTTGAGATCCGGTCTCACTAAATTGCTTAGGGCCTCACTAAATTTCTGAGGCTGGCTTTGAACTTGTGATCCTCCTGCCTCAACCTCCTGAGTTGCTGGGATTACAGAACTGTGCCATAATGCCCTACTTTAGAAGAATATGGCCAGGCATGGTGGCATACACCTGTAATTCCAGCGGGACAGGAGGCTGAGGCAAGAGGATCATGAGTTCAAAACCAGGCCTCAGCAACGGCAAGGTACTAAGCAACTCTGTGAGACCTTTAAATAAAATACAAAATAGGGCTGGGAATGTGGCTTAGTAGTTGAGTAGCTCCAAGTTCAATCTCTGATACCCCCTTACCACCCCCCAAAAGAAGAGAATAATCATGTACTTATGTTTTAAAAGAATTGTGAAAGGTATGGTAAATAATTTTTTTAATATTTATTTTTTAGTTGTAGTTGGACACAATATCTTTATTTATTTGTTTTTATGTGGTGTGGAGGATTGAAATCAGGGCCTCGCCACGTGCTAGGCAAGCGCTCTACCGCTGAGCCACAACTTCAGCCCAAATAATACTTTTTTGAAAAGGTCAGTGTTCACAACACACTGGGCATGGCATCATTTTTGTTATTATCATCATTTCTATGTTTAATTAATACATATAAATTGTACATATTTATCAGGCATAGTAAAATTTCATTCCATGTATACAATGTATAATGATCAAGCAGAATGATTAGTATATCCATTACCTCAACCATTTATCGGGCTGGTCTCCAACTCCAGGCCTCAAATGATCCTCTTGTCTCATCCTCTGGGGTACAGGTGTGGTGGCCGCACCTGACTGAGACCAACATTTTCAGTTTAAGTGAGAATGTGGTATTTGTCTGTCTATGAGTGGCTTATTTCACTTAACATAATGTCCTCTAGGCTCATTCATATTGCTAAAAATAATGTCCCATTGTCACTGGGCATGGTGGCACATGCCTGTAATCCCAGCCTCTTGGAAGGCTAAGGCAGGAGGATTTCGAGTTCAAAGTCAGTTTCAGCAACTTATAGAGGCAACTCAGTGAGACCCTGTCTCTAACTATATATATATATATTATATCACACACACACACATACACATAAATAAAAGGTCTGGGGATATGGCTCAGTGGTTAAGCACCCCTGGGTTCAATCCCCAGTACCCGCCCCCCACAAAATTTCCATTGTCCACATTAT